TGCAGCAGGTTTTACCCAGCCATGATCTACATGCTAACCCCCAAGATCCTTCAAGTACGCGAGCCCAGTAGTTTAGCTCGGCTTTTGAGTTTTCGTTTTTCGCGGGCTTCGGGCAGTGGGGGAGGGTTCTGGAACCCTTCCCTGCCGGGACACCGGCGCGGAGTCCGCAAACATGGGCTCGAGAAGTTTTCAACACATCATAGACCGTACGTCCTACACCGCACCAGCCGTGAATACTAGACCGTGATTCTACCGCCTAAAACCAATCGTTTATGAACCCTGCTTAAGCATTGATTGGGTTTGAAGTTTCGTCCATTCGGTGTTCGGAAGCGGTATGCTGGATGTTCTGGTCCAGGTTTCAGGTTTACGATGTTTTGGTCTAGGGCTACAGGGTTATAGAGAATGCATTTTAGCGGTTCAGCGTATGGCATTCTAGGGCGCCTTCTGCCAGGAGTGGCTGCTGCAGACACTGCAGATCAGTTTAGGCCCGCCTCCGCATGTCGTAGCTCAGAAGGTAACCGTTGAATTTCGCGGGCCCATAGAGTCGCAATATAGGATTGACCACAGGCCTGAATTGACAGTTGGTAATACAATTCTTCAGGAAAAGATGTGTGTGGAACTCGGGCTAAGGGTTCAATTGGGCCTTGTCTCTTGTTATGGGAGGAGCCATCCACGTCACTGCTCCTCTCCTCGTTGCCATGCTCTGTTGCGTCATCCTGAACAAGAAGCCTACTGAAAACTTCGAGTCACTAGTAAAATTACATCTCCTTCTCCTTCTCCTTCCCTCCCTGCTCCCTCTGTCTCTTTCTCTGCCTCTGGCTCTTTCTCTCTTTCTCGGCTTCTTTTTTTTTTTTCTCTCTCTCTCTCTCTCTCCTCTCTCTCTCTCTCTATGTTTCACCGAGAAAGCCGACGCTACCTTTTTCGATTTTCGGCTGCAGGACTTCAGAGCTAGAAGGTACGGTGCGCGAAAGATGAGTTGACAGAATCCCAAACGTCCGTGGCTTACGTTCTCGCTACCCTCCATCCCAAAGCCCTGAACCAGTTCTGAACCTCTAAAGTGAAGTGGCTTCATGCGCCTCGCGCTGTGTGGCTTCCTGTGCATGGCGGTGGCAGCCAGCGCTGCGACTCCCTTCCTATCTTGGATTTCGTCGAGGGGTCAGCAGGAACGGAGCTTAGAAGGCTCTGGGTAAGCACACGGTACGCCTTCTTCCCTACCCGGCTGCAGCTTGAAACCAAGACCGATTAACGCTTCTTTCAATCCGATTAACGCCTTGATGGGTCCTCTCTTCGGATTGCATCTGCAATGAGCAAAGGCCATGAACCAGGGTGGCGGCCTTTGAGGTCCAGCACAGGGGTCGTGCTACTTAGGAATACAGTGACGGTCTACACCATTCTGTATCATAAGCTACGCCAACACCCCGGTCTAGTAAACCCTTTATTGGCCAAATCTTTGTATGAGGTTCCGCTTCGAGGCTTAGGATGCCTCGTGCGCTCGCATCCCTTCAACCCAAACCAAGCCAGGAATCCAAGAGGAACCTGAGCCGAAAGCTTGTCCCAGAGACTCCAAAACCCCTTAATTAAGGAATATAATTAGTATAATTACCTTAAGTCATATTAGGGATCCTACTATAATTTAAGGTATATTCCTTAATTAAGGGGTTTTGGAGTCTCTGGGGTCTTGGTGCCGAGGAATATGCGTGGAGCTCAGGTGTCTGGCTACGGCGAGGCAGCAGAACTAAAGCTGAGGGTTGTGGGCCGGAATCGTTGCAGGAAGGTTCAGTTTTTTGACGGCTTGTGTAGGCGAGCCGAATGTAGGTCTCTCCGTTGTGCGGTCGGAGCGTACCAAAACTGCAAGCTCCAAACGTCCGCCGATCCCTGCGCTCTGAACGCCCTGAATCCATGGTCATCCCAAGACGCTCAACCTATCCAAGTTGTAAAGTCCCAAACTACCCAAACACCTTATGCCCTAAACCCTGAAACCCCTAAACTCACTCTCACTCGCTCGCGGCGTTCCTCCGTGCGGTCTGCAGGCCAAGAACACCCGACACTTTCGTGGCTACGGCAAACACCTCAACCCTAAATCCTTACACCCTGCCAAGATCCTAAGAAACCAACATGTTCAGGGTTTCTTGTGGCTTCCTTAAAATAAGTCTTCAAAGTCTCAAAGAGGTAGGTCTTTGTTCAGGTATTCAACTCAACAAAGCAGCCGAAAAAAACAACTTACCGAAAGCCCCTGTGGATCCCTTAAAGGAACCCTCAACCCTAAACCCTAAACCCTAAACCCTAAACCCAAAGCCTCAAACGACCTGAGCCATCACGCACCCCTTCATCAGGATCCCACAGAGCTGCTTTCGATCTCGGACACCATTCCTAGGCCTAACGAGGGATTAGAATAGGGTTCATTCAAATTGGCGACTCTGCGGGTTATTATGAGGGTTCTGTAAGGATTTAGTATAGGGGCCGGGATTAGAATAGGGTTCTTGATGGTTCTTGTAAAGGGTGACTACAAGGGTTATTATAAGGGTTCTGTAAGGGTTTAGTATAGGGGCCGGAACATGGGTGGAAGTGCAGAGACGAATCTGCAAAGATGCAGGTCTTTTGGGCCTAGGGGTGCTGGTTCGGCGTTTGGGGCTTTAGGGTTTTATAGGGTTTTACGGGGTTTATAGGGCTTTGGGTCCCTCGGGCACGTGCTAAACCCCTAAGTCTTTATTACTACAACCCACAGCAGGGGTGTGGGTTTTTTGGCGGTTTCGTTGTGCACAGAAAGGCGGAGCCCCTGAGTATCCCGAAGCCTCCCAAGCCCTGGCAGCTCAAAAGGGTTTCTCAACACCACGACAATACATTTTAATTTCGTAACTATTACTAAGAATAGCGGTAGTAGCAACAATACATGTAGTAACAAGTATCATAGTTATGATTATAATGGATTAATATACCAGAGTTTTCAACCGCATGCTGTTCTCCACTTTTTAGACGGGAAAGTTTTAGCTCCGGGGCCGTGAACCACCAAATCCAGCGAAAAGCTGCGAACTAAGCTCAGGATGGATCTTTTAAATCAGCTCGCCTTCGCTCACAACCTCTTGTTAATATAGGGGCCGTAATAGTTGGAATAGGGTTTTGGGGCCCATTATATTAGAGTTATAATAAGGAGCCCCAAAGATAGTATTGATAATTATTTAGGTCCCTACATTACCCAGAAGCTCTGCACCCAGTAGGCCTTGTCCCTGGCTTTGTTTTCCGCATCTATGATTCACAGCATAACTCGAGATAACTCATGAAGCGTGTGACTCTGCATGCTGTTTCAGTTCAACGAATGAATGGGGCCAGTCCTTGTTTCAGGAACTGCCCGAAGCCTTTCTTAGGACAGACACGAAACGTAAGCCTCCAGCCCTGAACCGCAAACCCCCGGCCCTGACCTCGTGCCGTTCGCTCGGGGTAGGCTTGCAAGTTCAGACCCTGGGTGTTTCAACCCCAAGGGCTTTTAGGGCTTAGGGTTTAGGGTTAGGGTTTAGGGTTTAGGGTTTAGGGTTTAGGGTTTAGGGTTTAGGGTTTAGGGTTGTGCTCACGTCGTAGGGCTTTTTGCTGTGTCCGGCGTGGCACGGTGCAGGATAGGGGTTTGGTGGCTTCAACTTGGGGGTTTGAGTGGAGGGGCTCAGGACAGAAGCCGTAATTACTACCAACGACGAACTTTGGGGAAGTTTAGGATGTAGGGTTATGGGGCTTAGGTTTTAGAACCTCTATGAACTTGTGCCCGAGATCAGTTGAAGTTGAAAGATCTCGATCTTTCGGTATCCATCGACCCGTAATTGTGGGTACACCACAAGGAATTATTCCCTGCTCATGAATTCGTCATTGAACCTTCTCCACACCTAAACCTAAACCAGGCCGAGACAACATGTGCCTTGTGCACTTTGGAAGCTCCGAAGCAAGCACGGAGGTCAGCCAGAATTCCGGTCCTGATCCTGAAACCTTGCAGACATTGCGGCCAGACCTTCCAAGTAGAGAGCGGTCGGGTTGGAAAACCGAAGAACACTAGGAAAACAAACAAGTAGGAGCAGAAAGCCACAACAAAGGCAGCATCTGCACACACATACCCGACAGGGACACAAGAAAATGCTGCAAGCCGCGAAGCCAAGGAGACTGCGTAAACAAACAGGAATCATGATCAGTTGTATAGTATATTACCCTAAACCCTAAACCCTAAACCCTAAACCCAAAACCCTAAACCCTAAACCCTAAACCCCAAAAGCAGCTCACTATCCTATCACTGTTTTTCCGGCCTTACCAGGCCCAAGATGCCTTCCAAGGGCAGATTCCTCCTGGCCACTTGGCTCTTGGGGTCTCGCAGTTTTTAGGGTTGTTTAGGGTTTAGGGTTTAGGGTCTAGGGGTTTAGGGTTTAGGGTTTAGGGTTTAGGGGCCTTAAATGTCGAGGTTCGTGCTTACATAATTCGGGCTTACATAATTCTGGCTTATATACATAATTCGGGCTTACATAAGTCTTAGAGTGCAGGGTTTAGGGCTCACGGTTTTGAGGTTAAGCGTTTCTGGAACATGGCTGTGGCACTACGCAGTACCCAGGATAATCCATACCAGTGATGATGTGTGATTGTTGGGCGCAGCGCACGGAGGTGTTTGGCTAGATTTTTGAAATCTGGATGTGCGCACAACCAGTGTGAGGATGCGTGAGGTGGGATTTGAGTCCCTAATCATCCCACTTCATGCAGAAGGCCAAGACCCTACCCTGGATGCAAACTCTGAACTTACGCCCCGAAGAGCAAAGCACAAGAACTGCACCGCCTGCTCACACTTCTAGCACGACGCACGAGGATCCCTGAATCTGTGGTCCCTGCATTCTGGAAAACTCTGACAGCTGTAGGCCTGGGCTTTGTCGAACCGCCGGGTTCCCCGAGAATTTGAGCGCAAGAGGGCCCCAGAAGCATAGCGGCATAGCTAGGTCCGGGTGCATGCCGTCTCTCTTGCGCCGGGGGACTGCCGCGTCATGAGCGGGAAGACCCGTCTGGTGCAAGGTGCAGAGCTGCAGACAAGGTTTTGGGAGTTTGGGGGTTTTGAGCTGAGGGTTTAGGGTCTACGGTTTCGCGGGAGGACGGGCAGATGCAACCCAGAACAAAGCCAAGAAAGAGTTCTGGCTAAAGTAGGGGGTTGAATATTAGTAGCTTCGAAGGAGGTTCAGGCATCTTTCCTGTAGACCCAGGGCCAAGGTTTGGGATTCTAGAGTTTTCGCAGAGGTTCGGACTGCTTTAGGTAGCTGTGTCGTATGTACAGAGCGCAGTTCTATAGTCGAGTTTTTAAGTAGCCTGAACCTCCGAGTAGGGACAGCAAAGGACAGAGAGTGGCTAGGCATCTGTATTTTACTTTAAGACTCGACTGATTCTGCGGAAGGAAGGAGCACAAGAGAACCAAAGGCACGGTATGATCTGATGACTGGCTCAACCGTGACGTAGCAAGACTTGTCGACAGGCAAGTAGCTTGTGTGCAATTCCTATGCTAACAGGGAAATTTGTTGAGATTGTCGATGTAATCCGCAAATGAGTCCTCAAGCAGATCGGATTAGCAACACTATGCCTTTATCATTGTACTATGATATTCCCCCCCCTCTTCAAAAGAACCTACTGTTATCATTCAGGCCCCTATGGCCTTCAACCATTTGAACCCCCTTCAAGAACCCTCATTCTAACAATGAAAGCCCCCAATATTTCGCACTGAAGTCCCTCCGTCGAAAGGGCCTCCCTCCCTCCCGTACATCCCTGGCGGCGATCTTTGTGGCACCGTCGTGGAGGTCTCCGAGGTGCCTCGGGGTGACTAGGGTTTAAGGGTTCAGGGTTCAGGGTTCAGGGTTCAGGGTTCAGGGTTCAGGGTTCAGGGTTCAGGGTTCAGGGTTCAGGGTTTAGGGTTCAGGGTTTAGGGTTTAGGGTGTAGGTCGGTTTCAGGGTTTGGGGGTTTTGGGTTTGGGGTGCAGGGAGGGCCCGAAATTGAACTCCCTAAACCCTTGTATTACGCGTCTGCACCTGCTACTACGGATACTGGTTTAGGGTTGAAGGTGTAGGGTTTGCTTTGACTACTGGTCTTCCCACCACTACTACATATTACTGCTCAAGCACGAAGACGACGAGGATCCCTCTCTGCACCGCCAAAATCTGAAACACAGTATCCTTAACCCCCTGCTCCGGGGGTAGTTGTCCACAGTGTTGGGCTTATGCCCACTACTCGGAGTGCACACTGATTTGAGACCAGCTTTGCCATTGGTGGAGGGTGCTGGCAATGGTGGATGAGGCCGTGATGTGAGTAGATCCGGGTGCATATATACAGGTCGTGTTGGGCACTCAGTGTCTCAGAGGGATCTGCGGAGAAGCGTGTTTG